GCGCAGCAGCTTCGTGCCCTTTCTTGAGTTGGTTAAAGCCCCGGTTCCACCTTGGGCACCACTTCACCTATGCATCCTCTGGATACCTACTTTAACAGGGTGTTGCTACTAGGGGTCTGTTGAGACAGTTCCTTCAGCAAGCTCATGCAGAGCAAGGGGTAGCCCCTTGTGTGACAGGCCAAGACTTAGTATGATGCTAGGCTCTTGGTCATATCCCCTTAAAGGAATCTATTCCTGATTTCAAGCCTTGAGCTCTATCCTGGGCCCAGGAGTCTGGCCCTAACAGGTAAGTTTTTTGGGGTATGTAGCCTAGTCCTTTGGCCGTAGGGGATAATGTCATGGACAGCTGTCTAACATTCTAAGGGCAACTCCCATGGCTATGGTAGAGTTGGTACTTTTGGCATGCACTCCCCTCAGCATGGTGGCATGGGTATACTGTTCTCCATAGCGACCCCTAGAGGATGCAGTTTGAAGTTCCCTTGAAAGGGAACGTCTCAGGTTACTTATGTAACCATGGTTCCCTGAGTAGGAAACGAGACACTGCATCCTCTAGGTTTCCTGCCATGCTTCGGACGCAAGCTTCAGACGAAGAAGTGAATGACATGTTCTCCCGGCGCCTATTTATACTATAGTCTCATCAGTAGTGATGTCATGGGCTGTCGCCGGCCAACATGTTGGTGTTTTTTGAATGTATGCTTCAGACACAGGTCACGACGAGGCATTCCCCATAGCGACCCCTAGAGGATGCAGTGTCTCGTTCCCTACTCAGGGAACCATGGTTACATAAGTAACCTGACACGTTTTCTGTCTGTGGATCAGAAAGACACATACTTTCACATCCAAATTGCCCCCTGTCACAGTTCGCAATTTTACGAAATGTAGGGACACAGCTCTTTCCCCTTTGAGGCAAATGGGAATCCGCATCTTGAATTACCAGACAGCGAGTGACCTGTGACTCCCAGACACATACGGCCCCTCCAATATTGGCTCAAAAATCGTGTGCCGTCCCATGCTTGGTGCCTGGGCCAGTGTTATATCAGGGTAACACATTGCTGTGTCAGAGCTGTGGCCCCCTGGACAACTCCTCACCTATTCCTATCAGGCGTGCAGTTGGGAGTGGCCTACAAAAGGAAGGTATTCTCAACAGACGCCTCCAGCTAGGGAGTTGTTGGACAAGGGCCGTACCCCTTTCACACTCAAGGCTTATGTGGCACTCATCGTGGCAAATCATTCTCTCGTGGCTGGCCGCTTAATCGGCAGAACCTCTCAATCTGGTCATTAAGTTTCTAAAGGGGGCTCAGAGACTGAACCTGCCTCACCCTAGAACTGTGCCGACATGGGACTTGTCTAGTCTAGTTTAGTCACCTTTATTTATATAGCGCTTTTAACAATACAGATTGTGTCAAAGCAGTATTACAGTATTAAATAGGAAAATAGTAGGTCAATAATGCAAAAGGACAATAGTAAACACTAAATTTTCAGTTAAAGGCAGTTCATCATTGAATTCAGTGATTTCATCGTGCAGCTCAGTTTAGTTTAAATAGTATCTGTGCAATCAAGTTGATGATACTGCTGGAAATTCAGTGTCCCCAACTAAGCAAGCCAGAGGCGACAGCTGCAAGGAACCAAAACTCCAACGGTGACAGAATGGAGAAAAAAACCTTGGGAGAAACCAGGCTCAGTCAGGGGGCCAGTTCTCCTCCGGCAAAGTTAGATTGTGCAGAGGACTCATCTAGTTCCAGTGGTCTTATCTATAGTCCTAAGGGCCCTCAAGGGCCTTCCTTTGAGCCGCTTCAAATGGCGCTCAAAACCGCTCTGCTCTTGGCCTTGGCTTCAGTCAAATGTGTAGGTCAGCAATTCCTGTCTTGAGTTTGGGCCTAACAACTGTAAAGTCATTCTACAACCGCGAAGTGGTTACATACCTAAGGTTCTCTCAACTCCATTCAGATCCCAGGTTATTTCCCTGTTAGCTTTTCCTTGCTGTTAGGACACTCATAGTGTACATTGAGCACTCTGGGTTGTTTAGACAATCAGAGCAGCTCTTTGTGTGCTTTGGAGGCCGCTCTAAGAGGCTGCCAGTCACAAAACAGAGACTTTTTTGCTAGATAGTAGATGCTATCACCTTGGCTTATGCCGCAGTTGGCTTGCAATGCCCTATAGGTGTGAGGGCCCATTCCACCAGAGGAATGCCTTCTCCTGTGCATGGTCCAGTGGGATTTCTATCAGGGAGATTTGTGTGACCGCATGGTTGTCGCCATCTACCTTCATTAGATTTTACAACTTGGATGTCCCCGCTATGCAGGCACTGATCCTTTTTGCCAAATTCTATCCCTTTCCCCCTTGAGTGGAAGGGCTATCGTAAGTAGACCTCAGATTATTGACTCGGGTCTCTTCTATAGCTCAGGATTACGGAGCCCTCTGGCAAGTGCTCCTGAGTTGGACTTGTGGAACAGGCTAAGTTCTGCTTCTTCTCATAGCATGGCACTACTGGATGTGTTCCCCATAAGTGTCAAAAGCTGAGGCAAAAAGAGATATCTTTCGATAGAGAAGGCTTTGGTTACTAACGTAACCTCGGTTCCCTGAGATAAGGGAACAAGCTTTGCGTGACGTGACGTGCTGTACTTTAAGCTGCACACGAATTGATGGCTGTCGCTTCAGTCAAATGATTTTGATGAGATGGCTCTCCGGGCCGACTTATATAGCAGTCTGCTCCGCCTTTTCTGGCAGGCACGAGTACTACTGGTTTGTGCAGCTACACGAACTTTAACAAATCAGGCTTCAGTAGCAGAGTAAACAGGAGCTCCCCATAATCGGCAAAAGCTGGCTCAGCGCCCGTTCCCTTAGTAACCGGAGTTAGTAACCGGAGCATGATTCATAGTGATCAATTAACATATTTATTGACATATCAGTTAAGACTTATCGTTATAACATATCGATATATGATTAAACTTTATTTGGAAACTACATTTCTTTATATTTTGCCTAAAATGTGTTTTAATATCACTATTAATAAGGATTGTATGTTCTCTGATTAATACCAGTCTTTAAATGCAAGACATTTAAACTGTACCTGAAGTATACTCGCTATAGTTCCACTTTAGCACAATCAAATATCATAGTTATATGTAACCATGGTTCCCTGAGTAGGGAACGAGACACTGCGTCCTCTAGTTTAACCATAGCGACCCCTAGAGGACGCAGTTCGAAGTTCCCTTGAAAGGGAACTATATATGTACTTGTTTGGTCCATCGAGATTTAAACACATTCCCGCAAATTCTTAACACCACAGTGCATCTGGATGCTTGTTTGTTTGTTGAAATATCTTCTAATAAATATTAACATTAATGATTTGTATGCAATTTTATGCAGTTTCAAGGTTTTTATACAGATAAACAAAACTTTAACCAAACTGGGAAATTAACACCTGCAACCTACCAAAGAGGATATTTTGCTATATATGCCAGCCACTGTAATGCATAAGATATGCCTTTGACAAAAAACTATTGCTTAGTATACAGAACAGAATAAGATATATATTGAAGAGGCATTTCTGATTGGCTGATTTTTTTATTTCCAGTGGTGCTTGATTTTGCTTGGTTAAAGGAATAGTTCACCCAAAAATGAAGATTTGTTGAAAATGTACTTACTCTCAGGCCACCCAAGATTTAGATGGGTTTGTTTCTTCATCAGATTTGGAGAAATTCAGCGTCACATCACTAAATAGGATCACCAAAGGATCCTCTGCAGTGAATGGGTGCCGTCAGAATGAGAGTCCAAACAGCTGATAAAAACATCACAGTAATTCACAAGTAATCCACACCACTCCAGTTAGTCAATTAACATCTTTTAAGAAACAAATCCATCACTGAGACATTTTTAACTTCAAAGCAGTTAATTGGTGAGCAAGCGATATAATGCTGCTGCTGCATTCCTCCAAATCTGTTCTCTTGAAAAAACAAACTCCTCTACTATAAACTCAAACTGTCTTAGATGGCCTGAGGGTGAGTAAAGTTTCATTTTGAACTATTCCTTTAATGGACTAGGGAAAAGATTTAAGTGACAAATATATTTTATAATTCCACATTGATGACTAAAGACAACAATTCCTGAGCTATTTCTATTTCAACAATATAAAATCTCAGTGTTCTCCACTGTTATAGAAGCTACAGAAATACTGGAGTGGTATTGTTACTTTTTATTGCTATTTTATTGTCCGCTCAGGACTAACTTGGTATTTTGCATATTCCTCACAAACATACCTTTAGCTAAATAAATATATCATGACAGTTTTGAGACATTTTCCATCAGTTTCCTCCTGCAGCTATTTGATATATGCTTAATCCAATTGCTGAAGCTCACACCTAAGCCAGGCGCTCACTTTCACCCACATATTGAAAAGGCAAGCTCCACCACTATTTACAGGATTGTGCCTGTGCTCAATTCCATTTTATTGAAAATGATTTGTCTTCTCAGTCAGTATTTTTTCCCCGAGCATCTCCTTTTGCTGTACTTTCGTCTCTGCCATCAGCAGGCCAATTTCCCTTCTGCTGTTATCTGTCTGTAAATGAGTCTCCTGCCAGAAGCCAAACATGCAGGGGGATGGATGCCATGTTAGCTGCAAGTTAATCAAGCAGTAAAATCACAAAATAACTGCAGTCAGATGCACTATAATTAATTGAAAAGCAGTGTGATTTAATTTCTTAACGTGTATTAACTGTGCCAAAACATGAATAGTGTCATAACATTTTGGAACATTTTTTTTTTTATTGTGCTGCGTTTGCAATACTTCAAGCATACATCATACAGTAAATCAGAATATATGAACTGTGTAAACTATGCATATATAACACTGTACATCTAGTGGAGAGGATACCCTCTGCAGCATAGGTATATATATATATATATATATATATACAACGTCTTATTTTTTTTACCTCAATTTTTTGTTACTGTTGAAGTGTTTGTGTGCGATATGGAAAACTTTGCTTTTGTATTTCTAGGGAAGTTATAAAAGCAGACATCCGATTAAAACCCATGGGGCTCAAAACCACAGACACCTTCTGTACGAGAGATGGGCGCGCTGGGGGATCTGGTACAAATACCAACCTCTAGACCTCATACGGTAAGAAACACACACACAGCAGTGTAAAAAAACACAGTATATATAATATAGAAGTATCTGGACACTTTTGGACACATCTATTCATATTCAGTTAATCACTAATATCTATTTGGTGATAGAGAAATTACCCCTCAAAAAGATAATTTAACATGATTATTGTGTTAGATGAGAAAAGCATTGAAAGACATTACAAAAGTAGCTTTAGAAATAAATATTTGATTCAGTATTGCATAAATATTGATAATAAATTGGTATTACATTTTTAAATCAATATTGAAATATGAAACTAAAACTGCCAGTAGGCACAAAACACAGTAACAAAACACAACTGTTGATCTGAGCCAGATATGTACTATGCATATGATTTTTTTATTCATTTTGAAAACATAATTAAGTACCTTGTGAATAAAGCCTAGACTTCACAAGAGCTTTCAGTCTGTTTGTTTGAGCCTTTCTCAAAAGTCTTTGTTTCTGAAAAGCTCTTGGTGACTAGGAAGGCAGTCAAATCCTGAAAGGAAATATTTGCTGTGTGAGAACAGCTTTAATCTCACTAACTCATTCATATGTGTTGGACTGTATTGGTGTGGCTGACCACGGCTTTCTAGTGTAAATCTCAGCTGTAGTCAAATAGAGCGAGAGAAAATGCAGTCTCAGGCTCATAACAAACGTATATTGAAGCTGAATTAGATCACTCAGCTCTTAAAGTGGAGACAGGAAAATAATTGCGATGGTGATCTGCAGACTCAGCATCTCTCTGCTGGTAGCTGCTCATCAGTTTGAGAGTAAGGTCAGAATGATGTAACCGTCCTGACCTGGTATGTTTTAAGTGAATGGATGTTCCTGTTTTTAGTCACCTTGGGTCTTCCCTGCTGTTAATCTACAGTATGTATCTATCCTATGTATCTGGGGCATATAGGGTCATTGTGTGTGTGTGTGTGTGTGTGTGTGTGTGTGTGTGTCCCGATCTATTCATTTATTAAAAACACTTTTACAATGCAATGATTTAAATAAAGTTTGCTTAGATTGGCTTAGACTATCTATTTAGCCCACATGGGCAAGTTGACATCATCAGAAAAGAAATCCAAAGTTCTGGCATTAAACTCTAGATGGCGCAGTCTGATAGGTATAACTCAATCTGACTTAATGACATCATCACATGGCACAGCCGATTGGTTGTTTTTGTATTTGCAGCCAATGAGCTTGCTGCTCAACACTCAAATACTTGAGTAGTGCTTGCTGTAGCAGTAGCAACGCTCTTCAGAAACCCTCCTCCATCCCCAGCGCCACCTGTATAGATCTGCTAAGGGGTATTAATGTATGATATATACTGTATAGGGGTTATTTTATATATGTTATATGTGCAGCTACAGTATTTCTTACATGCTCACAGCAGCATGTTGTAAATGGATTGGCAGTAGCAAGTCTCGGTACTTGCGCTGCAGCAGCAGCGTAGCAGATCTATTCTGCCAAGACCAAACACAAAATCTATATATAACTATCTATCTATAGGCTCTTTTATTTATTTATGTATGCAAGAATGTATGTATTTATATATGTATGTGTGTGTGTATGTATGTATGTATTTTATATATTATTATTATTATTAATTTATTTTATTTTTTGTAGCATATCCAAATAAAATTAGTTTAGTTTTTGGTAGTCTTAAAAACACATTGATTTTTACTAAATACATAAATAAATAAAATAGTTTGGACACTTTGGACACAAAGAAAAATCTAATTAATTGAATTTTTGTAGTCTCAAAAACACTTGCTGGTTTCTACTAAATAATTACATAATCTAGACACTATTAACATTGGACAGTAGTATATTTACAGTGGTGGCCAAAATTGTTCGAACACCTGACAGATCTGAAAATATTGACCTTTTTTGCCTCCAAAACATGATTTCATTTCATAATGTTCATGAAACATGCAGATGGTTGCTCTGAGCACAAAAAATATCAGATGAAGTGATTCGTACTGTTTTTATCCACGTTTAACTTTAATATTTGGTATGTCCACCTTTTGCAGCAATTACAGCAGCACATCTATCTGGCATAGCATCAATATATTTCCTGCGAACCTCAACACTAATGTTATCCCATGCCTTCTGCAACTCAAGCCAAAGGCTTTTCTTTGAATTTACAATAGATCTGTCCAGTTCATTTTCCAACTCTCCCCAAATTTGCTCGATGGGCTTGAGGTCCTGTATTAATAAATGCTATAAATATGAACGGAACCCTAATGAATGTTGTTTCTTGCTGATTTTTCATAGGCGGTACTTTGGGGAGAAGATTGGGCTGTATTTTGCCTGGTTGGGCTGGTATACAGGTATGCTGATCCCTGCTGCTTTAGTCGGCCTCTTCGTCTTCCTCTATGGGCTTTTCACCATGGACTCCAGCCAAGTAAGGTTAGTCCCTGCAGGTATGTTTAGTCATTTCAGAATAGACCCAGTATACCTGGACCAGGTCCCAGTAGTCCATATGTCAAAGTTTACCCGTAATGATGCCATTTTCATTCACCAGTGTTCATCGTTTCCCTAATAAAGCACTGATTCAAATTAGTTTTTCTGTTGTGTTTCAGTAAAGAGATATGTGAGGCCAACACCACCATCATGTGCCCCATGTGTGAAGGCAACTGCAGCTCTTGGACGCTGAGTGACAGCTGTGTCTATGCAAAGGTACCGTACATCCACCTTCTACTGCCATAAACAACATAAGACCCCTTAGACAATGTCAGAAGATAAGTAAAACTGACAGATTTTTAATGTTTTGGTTTAATATAAGCCAGTCACTTAAATGGTCCTCGTCAAACATAGTGTCCCACCTCGATTTTTGTTCCTGATAATGTCATTGATTCAGTTTACTTGAGCCAGTTTGCATCTTGACATCTGTCCTTGTAATAAGATCATGATTCTGAAATGTGGGAACATGAAAAGTCAAGAAAACCAAGACAAACTACATGAAGGTCAAGAAAACAATACATCTTCGTCATGTGTCGATAAATAAAGATTATTTTCCTGTAGATATTTTAATCCAAATACAATTTTTCTTGCTGAAAAGATGTTTCTATTCGATGTTTTAGTCTAAAGACATAGTTTACAGAGCAGCTTTGATTACAGAATGTCTGTTTTTTTTTATTCTAGACTCATTACGAAAGCCTGCTTTGTCTCAAGTCAAATATATTCATATGTTTTAAATTAGTGTTTGATCCTGGATTTTCAACATGCAAACCAAAGACAGATTCCCCAAACTGTGCAGCCAGTACTAAGGACTAAAAGATGGTTTTGTGTTATGGGAACATGGTGGTGACATGCCAGAGAGTGGCTAACATTTTAATAAAACACACATAATTGGTTCCAGAAGAGTTTTATTGCTTGAAGATTGCTATTTCATAGCTCAGAAGACAATGTTGTCACAGTTCTTTGGCAACACACTACTGTCATAAGCCTAGGTCCCACCTACATCCAGAGAAACAACTGTGTCACATGTTGGGAAAATCTTTACCTCTGAGGATTATTTTTACAACCCACCACTGATTCCTCAGTTTAGAAGGGATTTAATACCTGCCTGCTACTCTTCTGCTTTCAAAAACATCTGTTACGGTTATTCAAACTTGCTTCAAAATTCACTCAACAGGAGTTCTGCTGAAAAAAAATCCCCATTCAAGTCTTGCCATTCCTCCCTTATCCAAAAGGATTAAATGTCAAATACTCTTTCCACGCAGGTTAAATAAACAATTATATGCGCGGTACATAAAACCTCCTGCCAAGCCCTCAGATGCTCCTCACGACTTACAGCACAGATTTCCACTGCCAAAATCTCCACCTCCTCAATAAACAAAGCTCCCAATGGGAAGTCAGAGCAACGGATCAGTTTGGCTTTCTACTCTAAAGGTATATCACAGTGGAGAGTAATTTGACACATGCCAATTAAGTTATCTGCATCCTACTACTGGAGTTTTGGTGACCACCAACACTTTCTTTTGTCTCATCACCTGCTTCTTAAGGAAGTTCATAATGCAAGCTCAGAAGAAGCTTATTAACCTTATCCTGTCAATCACTTTTGAAGGATATATAAGAAGTAGATTTGTTTTCTTCTCTCCCATGATATTTGTTCAGCATCCCTCCTCCTCCCTATCTCCACCTTTAGGCCCACATTTATAACTCTGTAGTCCTAAACTGTATGTCTTTAACTAATGGGGGATATCTAAAAGCTCAATCTCAATTCAAGATCGAGCATCCAGTCATGGAAAGTACACCATCTGATAACCCTTTTTGCCAAAGCGGTTTATGTTTTTCTCAAGAGAACTTGGGAAACTCTATTGCAAACTCCTTGCACTGAACTCTGGGGTCTGACCCTGAGGTCTCAAATTTGGACTTGCATGCATTGCTTACTTATTTACTGTGTCAATGTGTAATTGCATTTTGTTGTCAGGCACACCATACATTCTGTGAAGTCTTGTGAGTGCATCTGTTTGGGCTTTTCCAAATTATGTAGCTGGCAAAGTTTGTCTTTTGGCTCAAGGCTTATGTGAGTAGGTGGTCTTTCTGTGCTAATGCTTTCTGTTGCTCTTTTTACCACAAAATGGCAATTCTCATTCAATTGCATACACTGGCCGCTTCACTGCTGCAAATTGATATCAGAATGAATACCTAATAATTATAATAAGGCCTAAAGGATTGGATATACTCATGGCGAAGGTCTTTTTGATTCTTTGCTAAGGGGTAAAAGTAAGTTTGAAATACATGAGCAGTGTATACTGTTAGAGAACATCCTGATACTGCCCACGCTGCTGGGAGCATGTTTAGGTGAATGTGTTATTATGTGCTGCGCACTTTCCTGTCAATAACAAAATAAACACACAAACAAAATTATACCGATGTTTGCATAAGCTCTGCAATTTGGCACTTCATTTAAGTCACATTACTCTAATTTACATATGTGACTCTGGACCACAAAACCAGTCACATGGTTATTTATTTATTTATTTATTTTTAATTGAGATATGAAAGCTGAATAAATATCCATTGATGTATGGTTTGTTAGGATAGGACAATATTTGGCTGAAATACAACTATTTGGGAGTTCCCATAGTGTCATGACATCATGATATCGTATAGTTCCCTTGGAAGGGAACATATTGGGCTATAAATATTTCCCTGGTTGCAATTTTAAAGTTGCAATTTCCTACAAATTTGTATGCTGTGATTTTTTTTTTTTTGGAAAACACTGTTTGTCATTTTAAAAAAGCATGAACCTGCACCCCTAACTCCACACCTAAACCTAACCATGAGGTAGTTGCACATTTACATGTTTGGCAAATGCTTTTATCAAAAACGATTTACATTGCATTCGAGGTATACATTTCTATCAGTTCATGCAGATGTAACTAATTTTCTAATTATACGTTCTTAAATGCATTACCTCTTTTCTGTCCACCAGGTGACCTATCTTTTCGATAATGGAGGCACAGTCTTCTTTGCTATCTTCATGGCTATATGGGGTGAGTCTGAATCTTTTCTATTTAATCAGTGCTCTTTCACCAGCAGAAAGACAGACAGGTCAGCATTTGGTTTAAAGTACAAATTAAGTAATTATAACAGAGGCTTCCTTCAGCGGACAAGGACAGAATGAGAATCTAACAATCTGCGGTCTGCTATAATAGGATTGACTCAAAAGCCCAAGAGAAGCAGCTGTAATCAATCACCGCTTTGTCCCACATTACAACAAGTGATCCAATCAGGTCACAGTAGACCTCACTTACAGCCCAGAAATGTAAATATTTCAACAGTGCTTCAACTTCAGTTTACTCCTCTGAACACAAAGAGGGAGGGAAAATAGATAAGTGTTGCAGGATCGCTAGCAGTGATCACAGGTGAGTAAGTGCTTGATAATTATAATACACATTATAATGCACATTATAAAGTCTAATTGACTGGCTGAAGCCAAAGAAACACTTTCCTGGAGTGAATTTAGAGGAAAGTAATGTGAGCAGGAGACTACGGCTGGTTCTCTGAGGGATTTACAGGGCTGTAGATGTTTACCTTCGGTTGTGCTATTAAACCAAAGTACAATAGCTAGCTACAAAAAAATGTTGGTTGTTTAACTAGCTCAGAAATATTATCTTCAAAAATGTTGCTCCACCATAACAACAGCCGACCTGAAAGAAAAACCAAACTATGAAAGTTTACACTAATGCTCTTTGTGGCAAAGCTAATTGTGCTGTATGATACATTCCAGAAGGAAATTGAAATAGAATGTCTACAGTAGAAGTGTTTGCATTAACAAACTTGATATACTTGTTTTCAAAGTCATAGAAGCTTAGAATGGAACAAAATGTGTATAAATAAATACTAACCTTAAATACCAATTAAATATATGTCTAAAAACATATTTATGTTAAATATAATTTTGGTAGTGTCGAACTCATTTATCTGCAGAAGCATTCCCAAGTTATCTTTCTATGGCTCTTTGGAACAATTTATTCTAACTGGTCTTTCACTGATATATTCAGGTGCATCTCAATAAATTAGAATGTCGTGGAAAAGTTAATTGAGATACACCTGTATGTTGTTACGGATGAGCACAAGTAGGCAACAGGCAGCGGGTCCAAATGCAGTTTAAGATCCTTTAATGATAATCCACAGAGATATACATCCAAAATACATGACAGAACCAAGAAAGGATCACAAGAAACACAGGAGGTAACACTTATCAGCAACTCACACCGACAATAGCAGACCAGCCCTGCGTCTCGATGTTCATACTATCCATCCTAAATAAGTGTGTCCCAAAGCATAGTATGTTGAAAAGAGTATGCCAAAAATCCCCGGATGGTCTAATATTTCAGGTCGATTTTTGAAGTGTGGATCCGTGCACACTCTAATGGCTAAAATTGCCCACAATCTATCGTGCTTTGGCGAAGGATTCGGTCCAGAACTACAAACCCGAATAAAACGCATTAGAAAAAATACAAACGTGGCGGATGCTCGCAATCAATGGTTAGATAGAGAGGTTTACAAAAAGGGGGTTGAGTTACTAATAATCAACATTTAACCTGGTAAAAAATATCCGTGTTATATTTCATCTGCAACAGCAATGTGAACTTTTATAAACATCCAATTGGTTGTGAACTTTTAAATGCATCATTATGCAGAAAATATGAGCAGAGTTCTCGGCATGAAAGACTCGCGACTTGCAGATCAATGTGCTACTTCTTTTCTCTCCAGTACGGTAGGAAGTTAAATGAAATGAAATGTGGAGGATGTTAACTGTGACAAGATGATTGAAGCAAGAAGAGGCAAAACTCAATTCGGTGTTCAAGGGGTGTGCACACAGAACATAGCATGTGGGTGCTGAATTAAGCTTTTTGCATATTTTTGTGTTTGTATGTTTAGACTAGCTAGGTGTATTTGTTCATTCATGTGCAAGAGGACACGAAGGAGAGCTCAGTTCAGTGTTTGCACGTTGTCTGTGAGACATGGCTCTCGGTGTGTGCACCGAATATACTCATGTACTCAACTGAGTTCTTTCACATCTTCTTCTTGAATGCTTTAAATTCTTTTGAATGTTTAAACTGGCAAGGCTTAAAAACACTTGCAATTAATAAGCTTTCATGACGACAACAGTACTGCAAAAATACTGCAAACAACGGGTAAATGTCGTTATTATTGCTGTTTTCCATTACGCTTTTTTCGTAATGTAATTAGGCTATAGCGTTGTATTTTAAAAATGGAGAGCATCCTTGTGCTAAGTAGGCCTGCCCTCTATTAAAGATTTTTCTAAATTGATTAATATTAAATTGATTAATATAATAATATATTAACCACACTTCAATATAGGCTATAGGCAGACGAATTAGGATAGAGCCTGTTCTGCGCACAAGCTCGCGCATAAAGCAATTGCCTCAAAGCACCGGCAAAGTGATTATGAACGTGTCGGGGAAAAGAAGACATTTTAATTATTTATTAATAAACTAGTGCTTTCTGGGTGCAAAGATGAGGTTGCCGAATGCCGACGCTGACTCGCCCTCTCCACATGGACGTGCCTTTTAATAGAAATGCACCTTTTCATACGGACTACAAAATTAAAGAATATTACAAAATCGAGTGGGCGAGTTTTCCTTATATTTATTTTATTATTCATATAAAAATGATAATAACCTGTTTTGGTTATATTTACTATTAATTGCAGAAGGTGCGCTCAGCAAAAATGACGCGAATATTGATGGTTTTCATGCTCAAGTAAAGTAAAAGACCGCTTCTTAAACCAGAGAAGGTGAACATGTTGGTATTCTTGTGGGGAGAAAAATCATGCAAGCACTGTCACCGGCAGCAAGTTTAGTTTTACTTTTCTTTTTGTTTTGTTTTCATTTTGAAAAGCTTATTTTTGCTGTTTACCTCACCTTACGCTACGGAGGCTCTTTTTTTTTTGATTCCTCAGTGTTTGCTAAACTTTCTGTAATTTATTAGTCATTATATAGCCTAATACAGCGTGTAGGCCTATGCCATGCCTCATCTTATTCGTTTTTGTTAATAACGTTTTGTAAGCTAGTTTGTCATTGAATCTTACGGTTTTAAGGTTGTGGTCCATTTTAATTAAAAATAATGAATCCATCTTTTTTTTTAGTCTTAAAAGATGAAAGGTGTATAGATGTAAGCAAAACAGACAATTATATTTTATTGTAAAACCTGACAAGATCGTGAAATCGAAAGTGAAAGCATCCGAAGCCCGGCTTATAACATGGTAAAAGAGGATCTCCCGTTCACAAAATTCAAATCACAAATAATATTACTGATGAAAAAGAACGGGTTGAATGTTAACTACTTTCGTTTCCATATAACTATAAACTACGATAAAAGTTCATCAGTGTGCATTGATTAATAGCATGTTGTAGTCAAAAAAAAAAAAAAAAATGCAACCAACTGAGAAAGTTAATGGCAAAAGAGCGACCAGTGGGAAGAATGAGTCTGGTGCCCTGAATTGCCCAGCTCCCTCTGTCAATGATCTAGCACCCCCTCGGCACCTGCGTTCATAATTCTCTGGCGCCGCCCCTGGTACATCGATGTATTTTTGAAAAGCAAAAATTAAGTTTGTCCAACTCTAAACCCAGTCCCCAAGTAAATTAGGTTATTAAATAAAAAACTAGCAAAATGAGTTGCACGGTGTCCCCACCACTTTTCAAAGCAAAGTTACGCCACTATAGAGTATGTTGAGGTGGATTGAGTATGCACACAGTCACACACACAGACAGCTAGCTTGCAAACACATGAGGCTTCTGAAGACAAAGATACTGGTTTGGTATCTGTACTGTACTGTTGTTATCTGTACTTGGTACTGTTCTGGCCACAGAGACCCAGATGGATCTGCAAGTCTAAATCCTGAGAGCTCAAATGTGAAGACCACTTTCAGCAAGAAGACTGGGCTTTAAAAATTAAACATTGTCTCTCTTCTTGGTCTTTCACTCTGTTTCTTCCCTTGCAGCTCTTTTGCTTTCAACAAAAGTGGGTCACACCGTCCTTTGTTAGAAACGTGGGGCATGCGAACTCAGAGAGTCCAGATGTTTTTGCTCTATTTTAACAGTTAAATTTAACATGAAAACCTCACTGAACTTATCTTATTTTTACTTTGATTTATTTAGTATTCAAGCTACACAGAATCTCAATGTCTACCAGTGAGATGAAAAATTATAAAATGGATAGTTCTAATCCAAAATCCTGATTGGTTGCACATTCAACGCTGGTGTAAAATGTTGATGAACATATATCTGTGATTACACATGCACAAAGATGTTATTATATCCAGTCTCGTGGGGCTATTTTGGTGCAACTTCATGAAACCAACAATCTGCATGGAAAAGACAAAAGTATCTGAAACAACAACACTTGTGGAGTGGAGAAATGAAAGAATTGCCCATGTTCAAGACAACTTTTAAAGGCCTTCGTATAAGCTAATATGTACTTTTAATAATGTTAACGGCTGCATTTCTGCAGTTTAGTGCCATCTGCTGTCAGAGAGTGAAAGTGCGCTTTCCTCCAGAGCGTCTCTCACATGTTCCGCCGTGCGCTTCTCGTCCGCGCTTGTTTACATCAGAGTGCGCACGCGTCTTTCACGCAACATACAGGTGTTGTGCATTTTGACCAGTTGATGGGAAAAGTATTCTTAAAATGCATTCAAAATTCGGAATAATTTGTAATATATAATTATTGACGGTGTTTAGAAGTGCCCACGATATCAATATCGTGCATATTCATTATCGTGATATATCGCATTACCGAATACCGGTATGTCTAAATGTCAGTTATTTGTACATCTTATAGTTTATTTATTATGCATTTATTTTTGAATTTGTACATCGGTTTTATTGATTGATTGATTGATTTTGCATTTTAATTAAGATTGTTAATATAACTAAATTTAAATCATTTTAATAATTTTAGGACTAGGTTCCCCCTTGAAGTTTGCCACAGTCCCATAGTAGGCCCTGGCTCCCTGGTTGAGAACCATGGCTTTAAAGGGGTCATATGATGCTGCTAAAAAGAACATTATTTTGTGTATTTGGTGTAATGAAATGTGTTTATGCAGTTTAAAGTTAAAAAACACATAATTTTTTACATACTGTACATTATTGTTTCTCCTCTATGCCCCGCCTTTTTGAAATGCATCAATTTTTACAAAGCTCTTTGGTCTGAAAAGCGAGGTGTGCTGTGATTGGCCAGCTATCCAGTGCGTTGTAATTGGCCGAATACCTCAAGCGTGTGACGGAAATGTTACGCCCCTCACCATACTGTTGATGCCTTGTCCGGCTAGAGCGACGAGACTAAAACATTAAAACCCATTACAAACTTGAACCAAATGTGGGAGTTGTATTTATATTATATCAGGTTTTTCATATTGATTTTTTGAACTTTGACACAGCATAGTCTTTCATAGAAGGAAATACGAAACAGCTCTGGTCATGTGACTATTTACAACATGTAAACATTTCCCACATGCATTTATAAGCAGTCAGTCCTTTTATGTTCCGTTGACCGAATACATCAACAACATCTTTTAGACCCTTCGAAACTTTGGACACAAATGGGATTAAATATGGCTATAAACATGTTGAACTTCAACAAACTTCCTCACCAGTTGTTATTGACAGTAATTGACCTAGAAAACAACTATGCAAATGCCCACAACAGCGTTCCTTTCGGCAAGGAGATTTATGATCCTAATGATGCCTGAAATTGAGCTTGCATAGTTAAAGCGCTTGTTTTCATGTATGTGCATTGAGTATGTTTGGGCCTAAGATGACCTTCTTTAGTCACCTTACCTAGGTGAGCATGGTAACTTTAAATATCTGAAAGCTCTTGTTGTGTTGACGTCTTACCACTTCCTCTTGTGCTGTCACAGCCACAGTATTCCTTGAGTTCTGGAAGAGGAGAAGGGCGGAGCTAACATACGACTGGGATTTGATTGACTGGGAGGAAGAAGAGGTGAGCCTGCTTTCCTGTTTAAATCGACTTTGAGCTGAAATCGCAATGCTTTGTTTCTTTAGAAATATCAGAATCTTTTGAGACCTGTTAAAATGACCATTATGTTCATGAGCAACTGTAACTGGTGTGTGGCCAATCTATGTGCTGTCTGTTGTATTTCCTTTAGTATAAATCCTGTGTCATGGTGTGTTCTGTGAGTGTGCCTCCTACCGTATCATGTTGTGTTGTGCATGCCTTGCTCCTTATGTGAAAACGACTCAAGGGTGTTCACACTGACAGCGATTAGTTTTGACAAAGCATCTGTTGATGCGTGCCATTGTTGAGTTGGGAAAAGTTTAAGTTCATGCATCTCCGTCTCCTGTAGATATTTAACGGACATAAGAGGCGTTAATTTTACTGCAACCCAGGCTCATTGGAAACTTTTTCGCAGAATGATATTATATTGCTTCTTGCATGTTTAGTGTTAACAAAAAGTAAATGTGGGATGAAAAACACATTTGCTATGAATGGTGTTTCATAGGACTTGCACCTGAGTGCTCCTGCTGCACCGGGTGAGCTATCGAGCAAGTTTACTATGTCAGAAAAGTTATATGTTGAGCTGGTAATGTGATGCTAACATCAAAATATATTAGTTTACAAATCATGCACTATGGTAAAAGTGTTATGAGGTTATAACTTTATATTGTGCAAATAACCATACGAAAATAAGTCTTTATTAATCTAATCTGTCCCTGTAATCATAATTTGTGTGAAAAGGAATAAAAGCTGTTGGTGTTTTACTGTCACTAGTGTTTATTTCAGCTGGAAACTGCAGTGAATTGTAAGTATAGGTAAGTTTTTGACATTTTGCAAAAATGTAGGTAGATGCATGTATTTCCAATGTGCCTGTGTTGTTTCTTTGTGAGCAGAAAAAATGATTTTTCTTTGCCTACATTCAATGAACTGGAATTCTATGGAATTTCTACCAATTAATAAACAATTTTAAAAAAGTAATTGCAACTTTTATTCTGACTTTTTATCTTGTGAATTTACATCAGAAAATTCTGACTTTTTTCTCACAATTGCGAATTTATATCTTGTGATTCCAGCTTTTCTAAGAATTGTGAGATAAAAACCCATAATTGTGAATTATAAAGTCCCATTGTGAGGGAAAATAAGACTTACTGTTTTCTTTAAACCTCGCAATTCTGACTTTATAACTCACAATTGCGAGTTTCTATCATGTAATTCTGAGAAAAAAAAGTCAGATTTGCATGGAAAGAGGTAAGAATGTAAGAAAAGTAAGAATTTTCAGATGAAAAGTCGCAATTACCTTTTTTTTATTCAGTGGTGGAAACAGGCTTACATAGCATTCTGAGTGCACTTAGTTCATGAATTAATAATCGTTTATTCTAATCATATTTGTTGTCAAAATAGAAACACATTTGAAAACGTATTTTCCAGTTAAGGCCCGTTGCACAGCACACCAATAACGTTTGGGCATCCAGTAGTGGGAATATACTGTACACCGCGGCCAGAAGTACATTCGCCTTCCAACTCCCTGTGATAAAATCTCAGTGTGAACAGCTCTTGGTGAACCACATATCATCAGCATGTGCAGAGTGATGGCGAATTTATGTTCTGTGTATTTTTTATTTTGTGTGATGTGTGAATGTGTAATGCGTTTGAGGAAACACCTCAACATAATCCAGAGATCAAAGCGATCAGATATGGCTGTTACCTGCTGAACGTCTGGTGTTTGTATTTGTTGCACTGTAGATTTCTGCTGCTGCTAGTTTCTGTATAACAGTGGTTCTCAAACTGTGGTTCATGCACTAACAGTGCTACACAATCCTCTTTTCCTGTGGGGATGATGTACTTTTCTAGGCCAAAACCGGTAAACGTGTTAGCACTTTAGCACTTCTGGTTTCATTGTCCTGAAGTTTATTGAATGGGTTTTTGGAAAAAGGTATGTGTGAAATAAGGTTTGTGTTTTTTGTTGAGGGAACCAGGGTGATGCTAACTTCCAGGTTGCCATACAAAAATACATAATCACTGCAGCACTCTATTTTCCCTTAGATATTCATAGAAGACTATTTCAAAAGCAGTACACATTTTCATTGCTGATATTGTAGTTATTAAATATGTTTATGGGTTTATTGTGCATTTAAGAACTCCTTATTAGTGCTTAGTGTAGATGTAGTGTAGCAGCATGTGTATGTGACGTAAATGTATTTAAACAGATTTTTTTTTTCACTTCCCCCAAATATTTTTTTTCTAATCAGTTCACCCAAATATTTTGTTTCTAATTTCTAATCAGTTCACCCAAAAACAAAAGTTCTGCCCTTATTTACCCACTAACATCGTCTTTGTCCTTGTCTTTCTTTCTTCTTGGCACACAAATGGTTAAATTTGAGAGCTACAAAAAGGCTTTTTTATTTTTATTTATTTATTTAATTTTTTTAACAAGTAATGACTTTGGTCATAAACCTGGTCATAAGCCTATCGCAGCATGAACAGTCTTGAAATTATCTTCTTTTTTGCTCTATGAAAGAAAGAAAGATATATGGGTTTGGAAAAACAAATGGTTGATTAAATAATGACATCATTTTCATTTTTGAGTGAATCCTATTATAGTTTCTAATATTTAGCCTACGTTCTTACATTGACAGTGTGAAAATAACACTGATCAGTAAAATGGTGACTAGGTAATACTTGGATAGTGTGATTTGATCAGATGTGATAATTGGCCTGAAAAGTTTGAGAACTGCTGCTGTATACAATCCCTTCTATATTTAACTGTCATATTGTGGACTGTACTAATAATAAATATATCTTATGTGGAGGCATTGAAGTGTCTCATGTTAACTCATTGAGCTCATGTAAACAGCCTCTGGATTGACATCATCATGCCCAACCAAAACAGATGATGATGTTGAACATCTGTGTGTGATGAGAATCATTCATGAGATCTGAGAAAAGATCTTCAAGCAAGTCTTTCAAGAGTAATATGATGTGTGTGTGTGTGTGTGTTTTTTTTTTAAAGGAGGAACTACGGCCCCAGTTTGAAGCCAAATACTCCCGGAAGGAGAGAGTGAACCCCATCTCAGGGAAACCAGAGCCCTTCCAGCCCTTCACAGACAAACTCAGCCGACTCATGGTGTCTGTTTCGGGAATCTTCTTCATGGTAGGACTCTGTGTTCGATTTTTTCCTAAAGCTACAACAAACAGATCAGAATAATCACCACCCCGTCATGAAAATCGGGACGAGAATTGTGCAGAATTTAACTATTCTGGTTTCACTTCCTTTTGTTTCTTAACTATTTCCCAAACACTGGTTTATTTTAAGAGGTCTTTGTAGAAATACGTTGTCACGGTCGGTGTTAGTGTGAGGAGCACGGAATGAAGAACGAGGAGACCAGGAGTCCAGGAGTACGAAACAAAGGGATTTATTCTTGTCACAGGGAATCACACGTATCACGAGGAGAAGACATCAACATACAATTCCAGACAAGGGAGAACTGAACGGGCTAGAACTAAATAGGGTAGATAACGAGGGACAGACAGGTGATAGGGATAACTAATAACAAGGAACAGGTGATATTAATAATGTGAAAAGAAACTGGAAGGACCAAATAAGGAAATTGTCTCCAGGGCTGCTCCGCCATGGCTTCCTGATCCGCCCTGGAGACAAGGAGAGTCTCCAGGGCGGATCAGGAAGCCATGGCGGAGCAGGCAGTTCGGGTTGCCATGGCGGAGCCGGGCACTCGGGAGGCCATGGCGAATCAGGTGGCTCGGGAGGCCATGGCGGAGCCGGGGGAATCGGGAGCCCTCCGTGGGCTTAACGGGGAATCGGGAGCTCTCCGTGGGCTATACTTTGGATCCGGAGCCCTCCCTGGGCTTAACGGGGAAACAGGAGCCCTCCCTGGGCTTAACGGGAAATAAGGAGCCCTTCCTGGGCTTAATGGGGAAACAGGAGCCCTCCCTGCGCTTAACGGGGAATCAGGAGCCCTCCGTGGGCTACACTCGGGAACAGGAGCCCTTCCTGGGCTGAACTGGGGATCAGGAGCCCTCCGTGGGCTATACTTGGGAACAGGAGCCCTTCCTGGGCTGAACTGGGGATTAGGAGTCCTCCGTGGGCTATACTCGGGAACAGGAGCCCTTAAATTTGTCTAGTATAAGGTAATATGCCAGAAGATTAGTAACAATGTGTGTTTACTTTTAAATTGCATAGATATTATGAATACTTCATTTACATATTTAGTTGTCCATATTTAAATTGAAGATGTCATAACAGCAGTACTATGAATTCAAATTTAGGATTTCACTTAATTATCCTATAGGTCTTAAGGATTAGCAGAGATGTCTAAAATGTATTGTCTAACTGATGGAATTATTGAATAATAACACCATGAATTATAAATACTGCATTAAAACTAAATAAAAAACACTAGTAACAACACAAATCAAAACTTTTACTGAATCTCACAAATGCTGATATTCAGATGCAATGACAAAATTATAGCCATTCATTAAATGTGTTGAGGTAGGATTTTGTCATCTATGGTCAAGAGAAAAACAGCATTATAACAGTTCTGTTATGGTAAAACAGTTTTATGATGTGTATTTTGTGAAACGGTCAAAAATCAGTAATCCTCGGTAGTGTCACGGGTTGCTACTGTGAGGAGCACGGAGCGAGAAATGAGGAGATGCGGAATTAATTTGAAACAGTTTTTAATAAACTTCCAAAGGAACCAGGAGAACACACAAAGCAATGTAGACAAAACAATTCCAGACAAAGAAACTCAGAACAGGCTAGAACTAAATAGGGCAGATAACGAGGGGCAGACAGGTGAGGAGGATAACTAATAATGAGATACACCTGGAACAACTCAAACTACTTTGGAACAGGAACAGGAAGGACCAAATAAGGAAAACAGGAACTCAACAGGAACATACACGTGACAGATCGCCCCCCTCCCGGATGGCGCGGGACCATCGGGGAGGAGGGGTGGATGCCCTGGAGGCTGGTGCAGGACTGGAACAGGGTGGAGACTAGGAGAGCCTCCAGGGAGGATCAGGAAGCCATGGCGGAGCAGGCAGTTCGGGTTGCCATGGCGGAGCCGGGCACTCGGGAGGCCATGGCGAATCAGGTGGCTCGGGAGGCCATGGCGGAGCCGGGGGAATCGGGAGCCCTCCGTGGGCTTAACGGGGAATCGGGAGCTCTCCGTGGGCTATACTTTGGATCCGGAGCCCTCCCTGGGCTTAACGGGGAAACAGGAGCCCTCCCTGGGCTTAACGGGAAATAAGGAGCCCTTCCTGGGCTTAATGGGGAAACAGGAGCCCTCCCTGCGCTTAACGGGGAATCAGGAGCCCTCCGTGGGCTACACTCGGGAACAGGAGCCCTTCCTGGGCTGAACTGGGGATCAGGAGTCCTCCGTGGGCTATACTCGGGAACAGGAGCCCTTCCTGGGCTGAACTGGGGATTAGGAGTGCTCCGTGGGCGTGATGCGGGAACCGGAGGCTTTCCTGGCTCGGGAACAGGAGCCCTTCCTGGGCTGAACTGGGGATTAGGAGTCCTCCGTGGGCTATACTCGGGAACAGGAGCCCTTCCTGGGCTGAACTGGGGATCAGGGTAGCGCTGACGTGGTGCTGGCACTGGAGGGTGCTCTGGAGGAGTAGGCACAGCAAAGCGCTTTCGAGGAGCCGGCACCGGGGGGGGGCGCTCTGGAAGGCGTTTACGAGGAGCGGGCACTGGGGCTGGAACAGACACTGGGCCCACATTAACGTCTGCAGGGCTTGCCTCATTAACGTCTGGCAGGCTTGCCACATTAACATCCGGTGGGCTTGCCTGAGGAACGGCTGGCTTACTTGACTCGGGAACGGCCAGCAGATGGGTCCCGGATCGGAATCGGAAGCTCTCCAGACACCGAATGACTCCCTCCTTCCAGCCGAGGTTGGTGGTGTCTGGGAGCTCCGCGGGACGATGGTAGGTTATCCCGATCCGGAACAGCGTTAGGAGGGTTTCTCCCTCGAGGGAGCTGGCGAGGGCGAGTGGCACGAACACCCTCGTGTAGAGAATCGGGTCGGGGTTCGCCTGAGCCACGGCGATTAGCATCGCTCGTTCCTCCATTTGTACGGGGAGAAACGAACGGGAAAACAAAAAAACACTTTTCAAAATACGGAGAAAAAAACACGGGTAGAAGGGGTGCCGCTTATTGTCACTTTTAGGTCTGGAATTCTGTCACGGTCGGTGGTAGTGTGAGGAACGAGGAGACCAGGAGTATGAAACAAAGGGATTTATTCTTGTCACAGGGAATCGCACGTAGCACGAGGAGAAGACATCAACATACAATTCCAGACAAGGGAGAACTGAACGGGCTAGAACTAAATAGGGTAGATAACGAGGGCGTTAGGAGGGTTTCTCCCTCGAGGGAGCTGGCGAGGGCGAGTGGCACGAACACCCTCGTGTAGAGAATCGGGTCGGGGTTCGCCTGAGCCACAGCGATTAGCATCGCTCGTTCCTCCATTTGGACGGGGAGAAACGAACGGGAAAACAAAAAAACACTTTTCAAAAAACGGAGAAAAAAACACGGGTAGAAGGGGTGCCGCTTATTGTCACTTTTAGGTCTGGAATTCTGTCACGGTCGGTGGTAGTGTGAGGAACGAGGAGACCAGGAGTATGAAACAAAGGGATTTATTCTTGTCACAGGGAATCGCACGTAGCACGAGGAGAAGACATCAACATACAATTCCAGACAAGGGAGAACTGAACGGGCTAGAACTAAATAGGGTAGATAACGAGGAGCAGACAGGTGATGGGGATAACTAATAACGAGGAACAGGTGATATTAATAATGTGAAAATAAACTGGAAGGACCAAATAAGGAAAACAGGAACTCAACGGGAACATACATGTGACATACGTATAATTAATTAACATTTTATCTTACTATATTGTTAGGGAAAAGTTTGGTTAATTGCTTATAATTGTTCATAATTTGCTGTTATTACTATAGTAAATACATGTATCGTGTAACAAGCGTACTGCAAAACTGAGTGTTGCACAAATATTTTAGCAATTTAATTTTGCAGAAGGAATGGAAAATATTTAGAAAATGTTTTATTTTGCAGTGTCTTTGTTTCACGTTACATGTACTTATTATAGTAATAACAGTAAATTATGCCTAATTGCATGCAGTTACCCCTAAAATAAACCCTTATCCTAACCCTTACCATATTGTAAGTACAAGTTATGAATTAATGTTACTCTGTACTTAATTGCATAACAATGACATCTTAAAATAAAGTGTAACCATTATTTCATAACAGGCTGCTGAGAGCATTACATTCAATAAGTAATGTTTTCGGGGTAACACTTCATTTTAAGGTGTCGTTGTTACACACGTTACATGTTCTTACTATTATAATAACAATAAATTATGCATAATTACATGCAAGTAACCGTAGGCCAAACTCTAACCATATAGTAAGCACATGTAGTTAATTAATATACTCAGTATTTAAATGTATAATTACACCGTAACAAGGACACCTTAAAATAAAGTTTAACCAGAATAAATAATATTACTCGATACTCTTTTGTGTAATTACACTGCAATAACACAAAAGCCAAATAATGTACGCCACACCTGTGTACAGGCCATGAAAAGGTAGAATTGCAGATTTTTGCAGCCAAAATTATCCTCATAAGATGCATTTCTACTTGGTATGATGCATATGTTACATATTGTATGCCGGTGTTTCATCCACACATGCAGAAGAGTGCAGACGTCACAGCTGAATGTCATGAAAATCCATAAGCATCCATCACCATCATCAGTTACGAACCCTATTTGTATAACAAGGACACCTTAAAATAAAGTTTAACCCGAATAAATAATATTACTTGATACTCTTTTGTGTAATTACACTGCAATAACACAAAAGCCAAATAATGTACGCCACACCTGTGTACAGGCCATGAAAAGGTAGAATTGCAGATTTTTGCAGACAAAATTATCCTCATAAGATGCATTTCTACTTGGTATGATGCATATGTGACATATTGTATGCCGGTGTTTCATCCACACATGCAGAAGAGTGCAGACGTCACAGCTGAATGTCATGAAAATCCATAAGCATCCATCACCATCATCAGTTACGAACCCTATTTGTCACCCTAAAGAATATTTAAAATGAAAACAAATAAACACTTTAAATATGATTTTTATTGATTAAAGTTAGATCATAAAGCTGCACTATACCATAAATAACTGTCTCCCTCTGGTGGCCTTGAATTAAAAGGCAATGCATCTCAAAACTATACCTAACTTTTGCAAGATTCCGATATAGATCCATCTATTTATAATATTCCAGTCTGACACCTCGTTCACCTCTCGTCATCTTTCTTCCAGATCTCTCTGGTCCTGACTGCCGTGTTTGCCGTGGTGGTGTTCCGGCTCATTGCCATGGAGAAGTTTGCTTCCTTCCAGTGGGAGTTTGTGAAGAAGAACTGGCAATTCGCCACATCAGGCACTGGAGTCTGCATCAACTTCATGATCATCATGTCTCTGAATGTGGTTAGTCCTGAAGGCAGAGACACAATAAAGGCATCCCTGAACAAAAACTGACCAAGCTTTTGCACGAAAGTTTCACACAAATAGAGAAAAAAGGCTTTTCCACAAGAAATCAAATGAAAGCAAAACACGCTTTGAAGCAATAAAACGATTATTACAAAATAAAAAAATAAAAAAAAACTTTAATGCAAAATAAAACTTAATGTGAAAATATCAACTGATATTTTCTCTCTTCTGAAATGGTACCATGGGAATAAAATAAAGCATATAATGGAATATATTATAATATTGTCAGCGTTAATTAGTGCTGTCAAACGATTAATCGCGATTAATCACATCCAAAATAAAAGTTTTTGTTTGCATAATATATATGTGTGTACTGTATATTTATTATATATATGTAAATACACACACATGCATGTATACATTTCAGAAAAATTTTATGTTTATATATTAAGTATATTTATTTATAATATAAATTATATGACTATAAATATAGACATGTAAATATTTTCAAAATAAATATTGAATGTACAGTATGTGTTTTTATATATACATAATAAATATACTCAGAACACACACTTATATTATGCAAACAAAAACTTTTATTTTGGATGCGATTAATCACGATTAATCGTTTGACAGCACTAATATTAATAATAATAACAACAACAATATTCAGTATAATGTATGTGTTATCAATCCATGAGATCCAATGTGGTTTTCGTGGCATGGCTGTTTTCACGGCACCGGCCAATCAAAAAAATTAATGTGACATTCGTCTTTTTTTACATTTCTCGTTTCACAGCATCTCAGATGTTGCTCTGGTTATTCTGAAAAAACCAGAGCCTCAAAATGAAACCATTAAAATGATTGACTACTATTACATGCTGTCGCTCCCAGACATAAAACATAAGGCGATTGCAGCAAACGTAAACTTTATTACAGCGTTTTGTCTGCATCCTTAAAACAGCAAGTCATTGATTCAATAAAAGAGTGAATTTCTGGGCGGTAACAACCTAATTTCCATTTCTATGTGGCACCAATGTGACAATTTTATTTTCCTGAAGACAAGAGATGAAAATGCCACTTTCTCTAATAATAACATTGCAACTTAGTTGGAAATATAGCAACTTACATTAACTTTCAAAAGTTTGGGCTTAGTAAGTTTTTTTGTGTGTGTGTGTGTGTGTTTGTACGTTTTTTTAAAAGAATATGCTCACTAAAGCTGCATTTATTTGAGAAAAATGCAGAAAAAATAATAGTTATATTGTGAAATATTATTACAATTGAACAGTTTTCTATTTTAATATATTGTAAAATATATTATGATCATCAAAGCTGTATTTTCAGCATCATTACTCCAGTCTTCAGTGTTACATGATCTTCAGAAATCAGTATAATATACTGATTTGCTGCTCGAGAAACATTGCTGATTATTATCAATTATTAACAGTTGGGTTGCGTCATATTTTGGCGGAAACCACGATACATTTTTAGAATGCTTTGATAAACAGAACGTTCAAAAGGGCAGCTTTTTTTTTTAATGGAAATAATTTGTAACATTATACTGTCTCTCTTGATAAATGCATGCTTATCGAATAAAATGATTAATGTCTTTTAAAAGTGAATGAATGAATGAATGAATGACTCCAAACTTTTGAGTGGTAATGTATGTTATATTAACAACTTGTTGGTTATTATAAACCGTGTATTAAATGTATTATTTATGGTATTTATTTATTTATTTGCATCCTTCTCTGTAATGCTACTGAGTGGATTTTCTTTTACCCATCAGGTCTATGAGAAAGTGGCCTACCTACTTACAAACCTGGGTAAGTATTGATTCAGTCAAGGTTACTATTGATTGAGTGAGTGTAAAATGATTGCGGTCTGTGAGAAATGTTCCTCATGCCTGTAACATGCGGTGCATGACTAAAATATCGCTCACTTGTGATCTAGAACATCCACGGACAGAGTCCGAATGGGAAAACAGCTTTGCCCTCAAGATGTTCCTCTTCCAGTTCGTCAATCTCAACAGCTCGACCTTCTACATCGCTTTCTTTTTAGGAAGGTAAGCAACTCTTGATCTTGTCGATGCATTGTTCAGTACTTGATTGAATTGTTCATTCGCCCAGATTGTACCACTTGAGATCTGTTCATCGACTCATACAGGAACTTCGTGGCGCTAGCGCACATGCTAACACAACCGCCTCCCTCACAATAGCATGGCTAATTGAATTTCAAAGCTAATTTCACATGTGTTACTGTGATGTGTGTGTATTCCGCAGGTTTGCTGGCAGGCCGGGTGACTATAATAAGCTGTTTCACCGGTGGAGGATGGAGGAGGTGGGTGAGACGAGGCGGTAATGAGTTTTCTCACATTTGGTTATTATTGCCCTTCGGCATGATCAACATTCCCCTATCAAATATCGGCCTCAGTTATGCAACTGCCATGAGATTTCAATAAAAACGGTCATAATTTAGTGCAGACTCTCACTTAATTGCCTCAACATAACAACTGTGGTTGCTCATAACACTAGTGTACTGATTTAGATCTAGTCTGTGTACAGCATGTAATATAATCAAAAGCGCCCTTGTGAAAAACAAATGTGCTTAAGTGTATTGAATTCAAAACTTTGAAATCTTAATCTTAAGAACTGCACTTGCAGACAGTATTACTTTAATGAAATAAAAGGCCACTTAAGTGTAATTACAGAAAGAGTCCTCTTAGATTACACACCCTACTTTTAAAAAGTGCTATTGTCAAATTAAAAGTTTTACTTTAAAGTATATTTTAAAATCACAATTTTACTCATTTTTGTTGTGTTTTAAGGAAGGACATTTCTTTTGATATTTAAAAGTTAATATATTTTAAATGTACTAAACTGCAACTTTACCGTTACAAATACGTAAGGTAACACTTTATTTTAAGGTGTCCTTGTTACTCATGTTACATGTACTTACTAAATTAATAACGATTAATTATGCATGATTACATGCAAGTAACCCTAACCATATAGTAAGTGCATGTAGTTAATTAATATTACTCAGTAATTAAATGTATAATTACACTGTAACAAGGACACCTTAAATTAAAGTGTAACCATATGTAATTATTATAAATATTTAAATACACATATGAGTGTCAATGGGAATGATATTGTAATATATTTTAGTTTACCATGAATTCTTGCCAGTACATGTTAACAGCAGAACATGGTAACCATGTTTCAAAGACAATAGAAGTAATTATGAAATAACTTTATTTACAGTATGTGCACTTATGTGTACTTACAGTGTAGTTACATAAAAAGTGCTGTAATGTTAACTACATGGGTTAAGGTTAGGTTTAGGGATAGGTTCAGGGTTAGTACCTAGTTATTACCTAGTTATTGTAACAGCTACATGGTATGTGCATGCGGAACCGGACTGGAATTAAAGTACTACCCATATACAGTCATTTAGTGGGTCAAAACACTCTAAAATTATATGAAATGCATTTATTATAAATTTAGACTTTATAATTAATTAAATGCAATTAAGTGTCAAAGAACATTACATTCAGTTTACACTTAAGTTTACCCTTTTAAAGTATATTATTTCCTTAACAATATTATTTTTGTAAAATGTGCTAAAGTGTACTTCTATTTCACAAGGGTAACCAAAATGTATATGTATTTTTTTTTTAGTGTCATCCCAGTGGTTGTCTGATTGACTTGTGCCTACAGATGGGAGTGATTATGGTGTTGAAACAGATCTGGAATAACTTCATGGAGCTGGGCTACCCGTGAGTATGTGGCGTCAGACCTGGGGAGGCCATGAAACATGATCGGGCCCTCCTGCAATCTTAAAACACAAGATTGTTAAACAATCGCAAAGTCTGGGAAAAAGCTATAAAACTCTTTGCTAACAACAAATGTTGTATTGTCGATTTAACTGATTCTGAATTCTGTTTAGTCTCTCTCCGGTCATGTTCGAATCACACAATATTGTATATCGTGTTTATCACAATGCAGGTGGCATGTCAGATTGCTCTTGTAAACCCATTTTCCTCTCAGATGGAGCTGGTGTAAATGGCATTTTGTTTGATTTTATTGCTTCTTTCTTAACCTCTAAACTTACACAGTAGTCAGATTTACAGATTTCTTCATGTCACTTTGTCATGCCTTTCTTTTTCTTTCTTCACACACTTTATTTCATAAGATCCGACTTTGTTATTGAGTGTATGAACACAGAGGTCAGTGTTACTCAATTATTAGCCCGAACAGGAGGTGTTTGCAGCACTGAACATTCAAAGAGAGAGTTTGTCCTTAGTTCCAGTCCACTGCGTTCACGGCTGACTGATTTTGCCGACCCTGCAGTACAGAGAGAAATGTATGCCTCATCAGAAAGAGCCTCGACAACAGAGTGTACTTAACCATGACGAGGGATGTTAGTTTAGATTAACATTACTGTGCTTTGTTCAGTGTTCACAGAAAAATGGCAACTCTGCTATTATTAACTTGCGCTTATTTTGTTCTAAAGCCTTTTTCGGGGAACTTCTCTTCCCTTGTAAACATGAAGTGTACTTAGTTGTATTGAATGTGCAGTACACTGTTTAAAAGCGCACTTTGTAACAACATCAAATTAAAAGTTTTAAATAATTGTGTTTTAAAGGGGTCATATGATGCGATTTCAATTTTTCCTTTCTCTTTGGAGTGTTACAAGCTCTTGGTGCATAAAGAAGATCTGTAAAGTTGCAAAGACTAAAGTCTCAAATCCAAAGAGATATTCTTTACAAAAGTTAAGAGTCAGCCACACCTACCTAAAACGGCTCGTTCTAACACGCCCCCACATACCTACCTCACTATGTGGGAAGATTTGCATAACGCCGCCCAAATGTTCACGCAAAGAAAGAAGGTGTAACTTTTATTCTCACTGTAGTATTGTTGTTGCCGCCGCCATGTCGTGAAGACGCTGTGTGTTTCGTTGTGAAAGCGAAACTACTTTGTTTGGTCTTCCAAAAGAGGATGAGATCTACTTCGTCATGCATGCCTGGAGCTGATCCATGCTGGTCGCTGAGGGCCGCCTCTGCTCACTCTAGCCCTCCGGCCGTTCCTCACTCTAGCCCCCGGCCTCAGCTCACTCTAGGCCGCCGTGTCTGATGCTGTGTTTCGTTGTGAAAGCGAAATTACTCTGTTTGGCTTTCCAAAAATGGACACGACTAAAAATCAGTGGTTAAGTTGTATTTACAACACTGTTCCAGAACACGTCAACCCAAATATTCGGATGTGTCCAGCACATTTTATGGAGGAC